TGCATTTTCCTTAACTGGCTAGTGGGCAAGTCACAGACTCAACCGGCCGCGGGTGACCAAGTAGCTGACTACACAAATCTTTCACAGGCGCGCGCTGCTCCGTGTTGCGGCAGGATCCTAGTTTTGCACCGCTGCTTTTTTTGGGGGGGGCCATTTTCTTCTTTTAGCTACGAGACGCTCGGAAACGCTCTGCACGTCCCCATGTTCTCTCTGTAAACTTGTAAGCTGGCCCACATCTGGCACAGGCACTAAACGGGCACAGCTGGCTTCTAGATATGAGAAAATCCTTGATTTAATGTGTTTATTATCCCCCCTGCACTTTTTCTTGACAACGTGCTGCACAGGCCTACCGAGTTTTCCCTTCCGCCCAGCACGCAGAGAGCTCCCGAGAGAGAGTTTCCCCCCTTGCTAAATCCCCATGACCATGATATGAATTTCCTCTGCCGCCGGGCGGTTCTCCTGCAGGTCGGAAACCCGACGGACGAAGCGAGCCGTCGCAGCTGGTGCCCGGGGCGGCTGCCCCGCTCTCCGGCTGCCGTCCACCCCCTGCTGCAGGACATCGCCGACTAAGAGCAACCCGTGTTAAAATACAGACGTGAGTCTGGTCAGCGTCTGAGCCGGGCAATACCCAAGAAACGTCCCGAAAACGTGCCTCACACCACAGGGGATCCAGGCAGAGAGTCGGACCGCCCGTCGGCTCGCCCCCGGCTCCCCCCTCCGCCGCGGTGGGCAGGGGGCTCCTGCCGGGAGCGTGGCGGCAGGGACAAAGCCGGCGTCCCACCACTTCATAGGCGTTGAAGGTGCCACAGCAATTTACCAAATAGCAGCTACGTTACAAATTACAGCCTGGGTAACTGCATTTAACCTAAGAGAATTCAGAGTTAGGATGAACTAGAGCAATTACTCCCATTTTCGCTCCCTCAAGTTGTCTTTGTTTCTTTGGAACAGAACTACCGTAGCATTTCAACTCAAAATAGTGCATTCAAAAGCAGAACAAAAAACGCACACACAAAGCAAAGCCCTGAACTATAACCTCTACAGCATGGTCTGACTTCAAGCTATTATGCTGCCTTTTGGTATTAGACAGAATGGGTGAGCACAGGGCTCTGATGTTTCATACCATCCTCAGCGTTAAACCAAATCCGGTCCTAAGTCTGAAAGCATCTGATGCAGGTACAATTCCAAGAAGGAAATAACTGATAGTCTGTTATGTTGCGCTGTAGCCCACATCATGCATTTTTAATATTAACTTCTGTCCACTGAGATCATCATGAAAGAACTGCATTTTAGCAAAGTTTTTTCTTGACTTCGCACTAGGGCAACAGCATGAAACAACTTGCTGTTTCTACTAGCAGAAATTTATATTTCCAGAGGGATAGGTCACAATCTAATCATGTAAACACAATTTCAGAAAGTTCCTCTTTTCCTTATGTTGTTGTACAACCTTAACAAATTAAATTAGAACCATTATAGCCCAACAATCGCAGCGGTCCTTAGAAATTACTCAGATAATTACTCAAAAAAATCCCACCACCACCACAACCCAGTGAATCGTCTGGTTTGAACACACAAGAGCAAAACTCAGGAGAACATGCTCATCATTGCTATCCTTCCAGAGGACAGGAGGTGGATTTGAACCTTAATCTTGTTTTGCCTTCCCTCTGGGAGACCAGCTCATCCCTCAAACGCCCCCGTTTACTCTGCTGTTGTAACACAAGAGAGACCTACGACCGCCCCGCGTGCAGCAGCTCTTTGCATTACGCCGTCGCCCTCCTGGCCGAGTCCCTCCTCTCCACTGCATTTAGGGATTAAAAAGTAACATGACTTACAGTTTACTGTGACTTTTACTTTTCTCACGTCCGGGACCGAGACATCGTTTTCGGCGCTGCATTCATATTCCCCAGCCTGGTCTCGCGTAATTCCATAGATGTCCAGATATTGTCCGCTTTCGAATGGTTTTGCTGGAACGAAACAATCGGAGAAAGCCATGAGCGGCGGGTGGCGTCGGCCCCGCCGGCCGCCCTGGCAGGAGCAGGGGCGTCCCGTCCCCATCGCTTCCCCACATAGGCACCAGCCTATCTGATGCCGCATAAAACGAAGACGCCAACCGCGCTGCTCGTATATGTAACTCCCTGGTGTATTTTATCCGAAAATAATCATTATTTTAGAGAGGAAGACAAAATTTGTGATACAAAAGGTAATTTGTGCTCCCTTGGCGCAGAGACGTACCACACACACGACTTCGTGTGCTTGTCCAAATCTCGGCAGCTTCTCCCTGAAGTGGGGCCTGGCTTCTCGCCAGCGCTCCGATAGCCTTCAGGTGGAAATTGCTTCCCAGCTCCAAGCTCACCCTTCTGCCTCTTCCGAGCAGCCTGGTGCAGGAGCCAAACAGCTTGTTTCATCTTCCTCACAAAGCGCTCCCCACGCAGTGAAATACACAACGTTAAACCTAATTTTTGTTTTCATACGACACATCACGGTTGTTATGACAACACACGCTTGAAAACATAGGCCGAAAGCTGAAGAAGACCTGCTGAAAGTGTTTTCCCACACAGACGAGGTTTGAGGGACCGCTGAGAACTTGGCAACTTCGGGAGCAAGGACGGAAATGGGAACGAATGAGTGAGAACTGCCGCCAGGGCCAAGGAGGGGGCCCGGCGGCCCCTTGCTCGGCTCCCGCTCCGCGCAGCTGAGGGAACGTGCGTGCCCTGCGCAGCTCTGAACTTCATCTGCTCCCTGATTAACCGCTGACCGCCCGCAAGGTTCCCTCCCGTAGCCGTACAAGCGCGCTGCTCAGCAAGATGCCGCTTACGAATGAGCACGTTACATAGCACGCCCCTGCCCGGAAAGAGCCCGAGGAAGCACCAGTGATGCACGGTAGAAAAGATAACACCGAAATTGGAAAAAGTCACTGCTGAACTGAGCAGTGATGAAATGTAACGAAATAATTTATAGGAGATGGGAAATTGCATGAGGATGGATTTTTTTCTCTTCCGTGTTGCTCACGGGAGTAAATTGGGAGAAGAAACTTTGGCGACGGAGCTGCTGCCGCCCCCTTGCACGGGGCCAGGGTCAGTCAGGCGCTAGGAAAGTCTCAGTTACTATTGCTTTGGACAGAGACATGTGTTTCGGGTCTACCCTGCACAGAGCGCGCAGCATACCTGCGCGCGTGTATCGCTGCCTGAGCGGGCCGGTGGGGCAACATATGAAAAGAGCATGAATCGAACAGTGATGCTGGCCCAAAAAAGGGATTTCACTGTATAAATCAGCGAACGCTTTGCAGACTGTCTGCCCTCTTACAGCCTGGGCAAGCGACACCGCAGAGGGTTGCAGCAGACCTCACCCTTCCTTCTGCCCTTAAAGCACAAACTGAGCTCTTGCCACAAAGGAAAAAGAAAGGACGAGGCGGGTTAGGGATGCTCTGCAGCGGGACGGCTGCCCGACGGGGCACACAGGGGACAGCACGGCGGGCGCAGACCAGAGACCCGAGCCGGTTTCACCTCCCGGGGCCAACGTTTCCCCGAATCACGTACGCATCCTTGGTATTTTTCTATTCAGCAAAAAGGACCTGCTCCAATTTGTGAAAAAGCTTCTTAGCTCTGCACTGCGTTCCAACAAACGTGGGATTTGCCTGATAATCCTGGATCCAGAGGTACACGCCATCGAAGCTGCTCACGCTTTGTTTAAGGTCACGCTGCGACGTGCAGGAAATCAATCGACCGCAGCGGAGCGAGCGAGTCCGACTCGACGGAGAAACCAGGGCCTCCCCACGCTCGGAGGGGACAAGGGAGGGACGGGCGGCGGAAACAGAGCCTGAAACTGGCCCCGCTGCCGTGGACCAGAGATGGCTGTGGATGTCCGTGATACCGAAATCGGGTCCAAATTTCAGACTGCCAGGCTCGCGCGCTAGACCACGCTGCTCCTCTCCCGCTTACTAAAGCATCAGAGTATTGCCCTGGAGTCACCTTGGATTACTGATAAGGTTTTTGAGCTGTTATGTATACCAGGAAAAGAGTGGAAAAGACCCTCCAGCAAGGAGGTTTCTGATTTGCCTCTAATACCAAGAAAATTATATAAAATGCAAGATGCTCCTGTGCTCCATGTCAAAAATTACTTCTGAATTATGAAATTGAAATGCTCTCCAGCCTCGGTACTTCTCTGAATAATATGGTGTGCATCGAAATAACGCATATTGAATCCTGAGAATAATTTATTTTGTTTTTAATTCCAATTTCCAATATCAATTTGGAAGAAGAAAAGAATTTCTCAAAGTCCCTGGAATTCCACAAAAATTGTCATTCGGGTTTCAGATTTAAGCTAAAACCAAGCATCCTCTGCCTCAATTTTTTTGTTCTAATTTATGTATGACACATCAGGAGATAACCCAGTTTCTTCTCTCCCAGCACTTGCTTTCTTAACGGTGCCTGGATTGTAACTGTGCTTCTGGCATCTGCACGCGACCGTATCCAGCCTCAGCTGGGGTCAGCTCAGCTGCCGCTCCATACTGACAACAGCGGCAGGCTTACGTCCCTGGCACAATTCTGCTAGTGCATAAGCAACGTTAGTTCTCAGATCCGGTGAGCGGGCACCAGCGCGCTTGAAACGACAGGAACCGACAGCAGGAGCGGACAGAAGCCACCTCTGGGGTGCTGCTGTGGAATGAGAGGGAGGAATAACAGCCTGCTGCAGCTCAAACGCGGAAAACTTCGCGGGACTTCCTGGAAGAATTCCTAGTAGAATGATGTGCAAAAATGCTGCTGCTATTAAACGCCCATCAGCACTCTCTATAACCCTTGCATTTACAGGCATCCTATACTGGGCTGTTAGGCTAACTTAGGCAGCAGCATTATGCATGTATTTTTATAATGCTGTAAACTCCATGTATTTTATGCAATTCACACACACATTTTGCAAATATTAAAATTAAATCATTTTTAAAAGCTCATGCCCCGAGAAATTTTGCATCCAAATCACATGAGAGAGCTTTTAGTAAATATTAGGGATAAATATTTTTCTCAGGGAATACATTAAAAGCAAAAGTCTGGAGTTTTATCATTTTTTTTACTAGCAGATACCACATTTAGTCTTTGCTATTCTTTTGCACAATATTTCATCTTCAACTTGTTTTTAGTTCTAGAGATTCCCAGTGGCTATGTGGCAGAAAATTAAACTGTGTTATGTGAAAGATATATAGGTAAGCATATGTAAGCATATGCATTTATGTGACATGCATGCACACCCTATTTATGAACAAATAAAATGACTTAAGACATATTATGACTTTTGCATATCCAACTTAAAAAAAGCATATTCATAAGAAGCAGAGAGAATAAATTGCACACGAAGACACTAGCGTATGAAGAAGAGTTTCATGAGACAAATTCAATTCTCTCCCAGAGAGGCTGGGACGAGAAAGTGAGAATTAAGAATTCTGGAGTGAAATGCTGGCTCCAGTGACGCCTGCGACAAAACTTGCCAGATACCACAGTGAGAAGGAATTTGGGGTCAATCCTGTAAATGACATTTTGGGGAAAGAACAAGTAGGCACGAGGGGTGACTTCCGTCCCGCGCTTCTGGCAGGGTGCGGCAGGGGCTGCCGGGCCGCCCCCGT